CACATTCACCTCATTCACCTTCCTCTGGTAGGTGTCATGTCTAGAGCCGAACTGCTGAGAGTTAGCCGCCATGGTGGAGATCAATTCTCTCGCTTGAGCAGGCGTCTTGTTTGCTATGGCTCCTCCGCTTGCGGCATCCATCATCCGTCTTTCCATCGGCAATAGACCCTCATAAAAGTATTGAATGAGGAGTTGCTCAGAGATCCCATGTTGAGGGCAACATGAGCAAAGTTGCTTGAATCGTTCCCAGTAATCGTGGAGTGTCTCGACATCCTTTTGTTTGATTGAACAAATCTCCCTCCGAATGTTCGCTGCTCTTGAAGCAGGGAAATATTTGTCGAGAAACAGGCGTATCATTCCATTCCACGTGGTAACAGATCCAGGAGGCAAGTAAAATAGCCAATCCTTAGCTCTCTCGATCAATGAGAAAGGAAAGGCTCGAAGTTTAATTTGCTCCTCCGTAACACCTTGCGGCTTCATACTTGAACACGCCACATGAAACTCTTTCAAGTGTTTATGTGGATCCTCATTCTCAAGTCCACGAAACTTTGGAAGTATGTGGATGAGATCGGACTTGAGCTCAAAATCTGCCTCCATCGTTGGGTACTCAATGCACAATGGAGTTTGTTCTATGTCTGGAGCAGTCAATTCTCGTAGCGTCTGGTGTCCCTGTGCCATAATCGGCTCAACTTCTGTTTCGCTTTCAACTTCTGAATCACTAGAAGAATCCTCCAAATCAAGGGCAATATTCAATCCGGGTGAGGATGAAGAAGACTCTTGAGCACGCAGAAATTTAGCTTCTTTCCGCAACCGCTTTGCAGTTTTCTCGATCTCTGGATTGTACTCAAGTAGATTTCCTGCACGAAAAGAACGTGGCATCAAAACAAATCAAATTTTAAATTCCAATCCCCGGCAACGGCGCCAAAAATTGGTGGGAGTCGAAACCAACAATAATAAATTCCTACTCGTCTAAAATATAAAATTGTAGTAGCAATGAGTAGGGTCGTATCCACAGAGATTGGATGAAATGAGTTGATGCAACTGTTTCGTGAAGGAATAACAAATAAATAAAAAGATGGGGGTTTTGGATTGATCGAACTACCTAAAATAATAAAAATTAAATTCAACTAAAATAAACACGGAGATGAAAGATTCAAGATTTAACTAGAGTAAATCACGGAGATAAAATATCCAACCAAAGGAAAAATTCGTAGAAATGGTTCAATGATTCGATCATAGATGCAAAGATAATTCTCCTACTCTCAATTAAACTGGTTATGGTTATTGGTACGACCTAATAACCTATCCTTCCTTACTTGCTCGATAATCAGGATACGATCTCTAATTATTTCTCCAATCAACAGACAGTCCTAGATACGATCATAGGATTTAATCTATCAACAGCATTAAAACTAGAAGGATCACCAATTCTAGCCAACAAACACACATGTAGGATCATTTAGACTAGATCATATATCTCCCTAAACATAAAATCGAAAACCCTTAGTAATCAACTATGTTCTTCGCCACCAATATTAGAACAATCAAACAATTACGGATTTAATGTCCTAAATGGCGATATGCTATTCTGATAATTGAACAAGAGCTCTTTTGCATCAATCAATCAAAATAACAATTGATAATAAACACAAGAGACATACGAATAAAAAAGAATAGGGAATTGAAAACACAATTAGATCTCACAAATCATGTAGAACCAAATCATGAATAATCCTTTGGCTGGAAAATAATTTAGCTATCCATAAACATGGTAGTCTTCTCCATAATATTCATCTAAAAATAAATGAAGACAGTAGAAATAAAATAAACTGTAGAAGAACTTCTGTCTGTGTCGTCCCAAGCAGATCGCCAAGCAGAACAGTTCGGCCGAACAGATAAAAAAATAATACGTGAACTGAATGGAGAGAGGAAGAGAAGAGAGAGAAAAATAATACCTAGCAGTCTGATTTATTATCAGTCTAATCCTAATCCCAAAAGAAATACGTAGAAAATAATCTTCTCTCTCCAAAAATATCCTAATAAATTAAAATAGTCTATAAATAAATAAATTCCATAAAGTCTTTTATTTCTCTTTCCAACTCAAGACTCCTTTCTTCTTCTAACTCTTGTAGGAAATTAGCGTGCCCACGCCTTAGCTCAAATTCGTCTCTTTCGCCTTCCAATCATCATAAATTCCAAATTCCGAGATATCCTACATAAATTATAAAATTCAATTAAAATCAATAAATAAACTCCAATAAACACCGAAAAGTATGGAAAACATGACAATTAACATGCCAAAAATACAACTTATCAGCAATGACACGGTCTGTTACCCGATTTTTTTCTTATTTTTAATTTAACCGCGAGATGCTCTACGATTAAACCTGACTTCTTGTACAGTGCAGAAAAACGTTTTCAAGATTTAATACAATTAGCCGCTTTACGAATTAGAAAAATAGGCTAGACTAAGTAGTGAACTCAACCGCGTTCGTTCACTTAAATAGACCGTGTTATCCCCAGTAGTTACCGTCTTCCGGTAACCTCTAATGAACTAAACACAACAACAATTACGGATTGAAAGTCTAATTCAGCTGTAGATATGAAAAACCTAATCTAGGTGATCAATCTAAATAAGACTCAACACATCATGGTTAAATATTCAAAATAACACAAACAATTCCAAAAGGATAACTCAATAATCAACTACGTAAATCAATCAAACATCGTCAAGTCGTAGGATCTGACATCCCCGTAACTAGAAATAAAAACTACTCTAACAAAATAAATAAAAACAAAAGAAAGAGAATAGAATTATCTCCTTTCGTGTGCGGGTGCGGCCTCCCTCCGCGTATTGTCGGGTTTCTCGCGTATGTGCTATGCTCTGTGAGTTTCCCTTTGCAAATAATTCTTTTCCTCTGCGTTAGTCCCCTCTGGCGGCTCTGTGCGTGAGTATATATAAATTGGTTGCTGCCCTTTTCATTTTTTTCTCTAAATAAATCCTCTCTTCAATTAAATAAATAATGAGTATCCTCCCAATGATACTCCAGCCTGCGCATTAAACCCTTTGGATGCTCTCTTTTAATTTATTTCCTTGGGTCTCCCATAAAATTGGGCTTTTTATTTAATTCTTTAACAATTGGATCCAAATATGTGAACAATATTGGTCCGAGTATGGGGTACCAGCTCTGTTGGTAGCAGAATATACCCCCGTATTGTCTGCTTCAACCTTCTTTCGACGTCTCGTCGTCCATAAAAACACTCCAATATCCTATAAATAAATAATAAAAATATAAAGCACTAGAATCCATCTAATAAATAAATAAGTCAAAAAATAATAAGTGCGATAAAATTATGCATATAAAAATACGCTACTAAATATAAAAAACATGCACATTTTTCCGACCAATCATTAGCTATAAGGCATGGTTGCACATTTGATGGCAATCATGGAACATGTCTTTAAAGTTGTGATCTTAAATAAGTTCCAAGTCGATGGGTGTTTCGAGACAGGACATCGAATAACTCGATAAGACTTGTGCATATGATGTATTCTCATCGGATGAGAATGTTGCATTCCATCAACATTAGCGTGTGGACGCGAATGCATATATGCGGGTGCTTGTTGGAGAACAAGTTCACTGAACATGACCTGATGAAAATTCTTAACTGGAAGTTTTTAACTGTCGAATAAGAATTTTCATGTTGCAATAATACATGACAGATCCTCTTGTGCATGTTGTGCTTTACTTTGATTTATCCTTTGATTGCTGGGCAATCATAAAAGAGATATTTTGGGTAATGTATCAATGTGTATGGAGGTTTATCTGTGGCCAACAAAGAATTTGACACTTATATAGATAAGTGAATTTCCTATGTTTTTCATAGTTTGTGATTCAAAGACCTTGGCCAACGCGGGATGAATATGGATTCATAAAGGAATCACTAAACTTGAAATGAAATCATAGTTATTAAATCAATTGAGTTTCGAATTATAAATCCATGCCCAATTAAAATCCAACAATATTTGCATTGGAATTTCTGTTAGAATCATTGAAACGAAGTTATACCAATCAGTTGAAATTTTCGATGGAACATATTACCGTTAGAATATGACAGTTTTGTTGAAGTGAGTTGGAATTTTTTTCTATAATAATATATATTTAATAACTGCGTGAACTATATGCAATAGTATTTTAAATTCTGAAAAATTAGTTTATATACCACATCAGTAGTTTTATTTATAACACTTTTATTCAAAATATAAAAGAGAATAATGTGGACGGAGCACAAATATTGAAAAGTACGATAATATGCACATTATAGAAAGAAGATAAATTTATATGAAATGATTTAAATATTTTTAAATATGTGTATTTTATGACAATCTAAATCTCAATTATTTGGTAAAAAAAATTAGTAATTTTAATTCGAATCATATATTACAAAACAAAATATTTTGTTAGTAAAATTATGAAGCATGCGAAAATATTACTTGAGTTATATAAGGGATGTATAATATAATGATGATATTTTTTTATTACCTTGTTCCACCTATGTAAATATTGAATTGAAAATATAAATATGACATTTAGTTCATATCTCGAATTCCTAACATCCATCCATTAATAATTAAGTACACTACTAATTCATTAGTCATTCGTACAAACCATTTTAGGGGCAGAATGAAATCATCGTTGAGCAATATTTCTCGGTACCATTTCTTCTTTCCAGTCAGAAATCTTGTCACCACCCTCATTTTCTTACAAACTCTTCAAAACATATAGTACTTTTTCTTTGTTTTTCTTCATCTTTTTCCCCTCTTTTTGTCTCGGTTTCTCTGTTATATTCTTTTGCATGCCTAAATATACTAAAGATATATTTCATTCTTCTATCCTCCTAATTTCTATTCTTTATCATTATTATTATTATTATTATTATTATTATTATNAGTTTTGGCGGCCATTGCATTTGGAATTTTCGTAGTCGTGAAACATAACATGATGAAATCCGAGCCAGAAGCCTCCCCTGTTCCCGGCCCTCCCGGCGCCATCACAAAGAAATACGCGGACGCTCTTAAGATCGCCATGCAGTTTTTCGACGTGCAAAAATGTAACATATTTCAACTTTAATTTCCATGTCTCTCTCATTTTGGAATTAAAGTTGTACATTTGTGTTATACACATGTATATAAATGTTGTATTGAATATTGATGATGCTCAAATATTGTTTCCATTAGTTGTTTTAGGAAAAATTGGTGATTTAGATCTGTAACTATGAGAAATAGTCTGGTGATCGCGTTGACTTTACAAAACATCCTGTAATGCAAAAAATGCCAAGAAAACCTGACTTTTGGTCCTTCTACCTGCAAAAGTCGGTCCCTATAACCTGTTGGCGACTTGGCGTGGATATTATTTTTTCGTACACGTGGCAGTCGACTAATATAGACCAAAGGCAAGTTTTTTAAATTGAAAAGTTACAGAATATTTCGTAAAATCAACGCAACTACCGAACTATTTCGTAATTTTGTCACTTACCGAACTAAATTTTCAAATTTTCCGTTATTCGACATGAGTGATTGTGTCTTGGTTTTGTGCAAGCAAACTTTTCAATTGAATTCCCACATTAGTGACCTCGAACTTCTCAATCGTCCGATATAAATCTTTGCCGGAACTAATAATGTTACAGCCGGGAAGCTCGAGAAAAACCCGATACCCTGGAGAGGAGATTCGGCCCTGAAAGACGGGAGTGAGTCGAAACTCGATCTTTCCAAGGGAATGTATGATGCCGGTGACCACATGAAGTTCAATTTCCCGATGGCTTTCACGGCTACGATTTTGTCGTGGGCCATACTCGAGTACGGAGATCAGATGAAGGCGGTGGACCAATTGGAACCTGCTCAAGACTCTCTCAGGTGGATCACTGATTACCTCATTAATTCACATCCTTCGGAGAACGTTCTATACATTCAGGTACGAATTCATCGATTGTTTTNTTGATCGTCGTGTTAAATGCTTATCGTAAATTCTACTTATGTGTGAGGTTCTAATGATCATAGTGTCAATTGGAAATAGTCTTCTTTTTTTTTTGTTTTTATTTGCCGGATAACTTTTTTATTTGTATTTTTGGATGGAACTGCCATCCGATACATATCTTTTACTCTAAATCAACTCACATATAACTTAACTTTGCTCCGATACATATCTTTTACTCTAAATCAAATCACATATAACTTAACTTTGCTCGATATTATCAATATTAATTGAATAGTAACCAATTATTACTACACAATTTTCAATATTATTCACTCACTCACATATTTTTAGTTATCAATTATTTAGAAAAAATTTCAAAATTAGTCCCACAAGTATAGCGGGTGACAATTTTGGTCCCGACAGAATGCAGAAAATATGAATAGTCCCACAACTTTTAAAAAATGATCAAAAGTAGGACTTTTTCGCCAGATTTACTATTTCCGGCCCGGAACGCCACGTGGCGCACACGTGGTTTATTTTTTTACACGCCGGCATCGACGTGTTCATATTTTTTTACAAGTTGTGGGACTAGTTTTGAATTTTCTGCATTCCATCGGGACAAAAAATGTCACCTCCCCTATACTTGTGGGACTAGTTTTGAATTTTTTCCTATCTACGTCAGATGCCAGCTTGTAAAAAAATAAGTCACGTGTGCGCTACGTGGCGTTCTGGGCCGAAAATAGTAAATTCGGCGAAAAAGTCATATTTTTTATCATTTTTTAAAAGCTGTGGGATTATTCATATTTTCTGCATTCCGTCGGGACTAAAATTGTCACCCCCTACACTTGTGGGACTAATTTTGAATTTTTTCCAATTATTTACAATAATTTATTTGGATGGAACTGCGATATGATACAATTTTAACTCAAAATTAAACTCAAATCTAATGTAACTGAGCTCTCCTCAATCAATATAACTAAATAATAACAAACAATCATTATTAAACAATTTCCAACAAAATTCACACTTCATCAATTTTAATCATTACATTTTAACTCATATCATACCAAATCCAATTTCCACCCAATCAACTTTAAATTCAATCTTAATTCACTTTATACAATAAATCAAATCGACCAAAAACTTAAAATTCAGTAAACTTTTGGATGCCTCGACATTTAGACTCGTCCTCTGATTGTATTTACTGGTTTGACTTTTTTCTTCAAAATTGCTCGACTAGGTGGGCAACCCTAAACTCGACCACTCGTGCTGGACCCGACCAGAGGACATGACCGAGAGGCGGCCTCTCGTTCAGGTCAACGAGTCGGCTCCGGGCACTGAAGTCGCTGCCGAGATGGCCGCCGCCCTCGGTTCGGCCTCCCTCGTCTTCAAGGCCGCGGACCCCACGTACTCGGGCATGCTTCTGAAGCACGCGGTACAACTCTTCTCGTTCGCGGATAAAAACCGAGGCTCCTATAGCAAGAGCGTGCCCGAGGTACAAACGTACTACAACTCGACGGGCTATGGGGACGAGCTCTTGTGGGCCGCGGGCTGGCTTTACCATGCAACGAGCGAGGGCTCGTATTTGGAGTATGTGACCGGGAAAAACGGGGAAGATTTTGCCAATTGGGGTCGGCCCACTTGGTTTAGCTGGGACAACAAATTGGCGGGAGCCGAGGTTTTCGAATTTTTATTTTTATTTTTATAATTTTTTTCGAAATCAGATTATAGTCTATCCAACTTGT